CTGTCCTTGACACTCCTCAGAACTGCCCCAGTCTCTCCTCTTGCACTTGCCACCCCTCCCTTCTCCTCCACAGTCTGTGTGGATCCTCCCATCCTTCAAGCTCAGCTTTCCCACCAAGCTTCATTGCTGAAGAAAAAAGAGCTCTCCTCTCTTCTCAGTTCTCGTAGTTTTTTATGAGCATTTGCCTGTGACTTTACCTGATACATCTGTTTTATACCTACTTATATACCTACTTATATATTGAATTGATTTGGAATCTATTTGACCATATGTCTTTAGAATTTTAGTGTAACCTAAGGTTTCTGTTGGATCCTTTCTGTAATCATGAACTCAAGATCTTAGTATCTGACCATCTGGGCTCTCAGGTGGGACAGGTGAGGTGTGCAGATGGACATCTTCCCGATGCCATGTAGCCCCCAACCTCTAGAGCTGGAACCCACGCTTTCCCAACCTGTGGTTTAGTGCTCTCTTCTGCATGATTTAACGTGGTGGTGTCAAGATGCCCAGGTAAAATTACTTTCATTTTTATGACTGTAAAGAGTAGCTTGAAAATGATGCTACATGTCTTTGGAATAAAATGTTAATGTTGTTTATCATTTACAGGTAAAATCTTTATGTGCATCACTGTTGGACTCAAATGTTCTTGTGCAAAGAAATAATCTGGAAATTGTTCTGTTTTTTTTCCCATTTTATACCTGTCTGGTGAGTAGTTTGTGTTCTTCTGTGTAAGTTACTGCTACTTCCAAGGCATGGGGTGGAGGCCTAGATCTCAAGCAGCTTAGTCCTGAGAGGAGAGCTCAGCCGCTCGGTGAGCACTATTTGCTTTCAGCCAATTAAAGGTCCTTGTTCATTTTTGTGAGGGTGGTGTTTTCATAGCAGATGTTGAGTAGCTTCTTTCCATGGGCAGCATGTAAAGAACCAACCCTTTTAAGATCTGCCTTTTTGAGATAAAGATTTGTAGGTAGTTAAGGAAGGGCTGCCTGTCAAAAAGTCAGTAATCTACTTTATCATTCCCTTGCAGTAAAGTTTTCTCTGTCCTTCTAATAGGATTCCAATGAGAGAGCCATCCCCCTGCCCAGATCTGATATTGTACACATTCTCTCAGCCGCCACCCAGACCCTCCTGAGAAGGGATATGTCTCTGAACAGAAGACTCTATGCATGGTTACTAGGTACTGAATAGTACACAGTCATTTCAAGTCATAGTTAATGTGAAACCTTTTACTGCTGATGTTTGGAATAAGTTTCGATCTTGGTGATGTATTTGTGAATCATGAAGTGTGGAAATATACCACGGTAACTAAATATAGCACTGGTCAGTTGAGGTCTACTGCCTACACATAGCTTTGGTTATTTTGCAGCTAATTTTTTTTAAAGAGGAAATAATAAATGGAATTTTAGAAATGCCAACTGAATTCCATTTTAAGAGCTTGAAATACCACAAAAACTGTAGCTAAACCTTATTTAAGTAGAAGCCTGTTGCTGCAGAGAAGTTTCATAGGATGGGGGTGTATGTGGAGAATACCCATGAATGTTGTGGAATATGTGTAAATAAAGAAGGGTTTGTGTAAGTGGGAATGTTTGGGGAGGTATTTGGATAATTTTGGAGAGCCTGAGAACCCCTGGGCTGTGTTTCTGTGTCTGAGAGCATGTGTTTTTATGAACAACCTGTTAACTTGTGGGCAAAGCACCCTTGGCTGTTGGTAGGAAGGTTTCAAAGACATAGTCTAGGAAATTGCAGGGTTTAAATGAATTTTCTGAAGTCCCCTAATCATTTTACTTAAGAAAAAAGTGTTGTGCAAAGTAATCGTGAAAGGGCTTCACAGCTTTTATTAACTCTCAACATATAGGTCTTAACACACCAAAGTCAGGAAGTTCTCTTCAGTCTTTTTTTCCTCTCCTCTCCCTAGCTATAAAACTTTCAGAAGTCATTTCATGGAAACTTACTAAGGATTTTGAGAATATTTATAGGCTCCTTAAGGACTTTTATCGAAAGGATAATTTTGTTAAATGCACAGCTCCACTCCTAATGGGACTTGACATGCTTGTGTGGAGAGGACGCTGGTCCTGCATTGAGCACCGGCTACACCTCGCTTAGCTGTGTCCCCAGGGGCCCTAGATTCTTTGCTTGTACAAAATGAGGTCATATATATGAGAATAGCTTGATCTCATGCAGTACTGGCTAAATAAATACTGGATTGTAAAAGTGACCCTCATTCTGTTGTATACCTTATAATTCTACTTGTAAAAAACAGTCGGGCTGAATTCTTGGGACAAACTAAATTGAAGCCCACTGAGATGGAATTCTGCCTGTCAGATCCTTAGCTACAACACTATCAGAAGAAGAAAATGTGACTTGGTCTTTCAGGATCTGATTTTTGGTTTTCTGTTGGAGGAATTATATTTCAGAAAATATAAGACAAACTAAATTGAAGCCCACTGAGATGGAATTCTGCCTGTCAGATCCTTAGCTACAACACTGTCAGAAGAAGAAAATGTGACTTGATCTTTCAGGATCTGATTTTTGGTTTTCTGTTGGAGGAATTATATTTCAGAAAATATAAGAGCATGAGACTTTTGCACAGTATGACATCCTTTAAAAGTATAGATCTCTTCACAGCTAATGGTGCTTATTCTTTTATAGGTTCAGACATTAAAGGAAATACCATTGTGCCAGAATCTGAAATCTCAAGTTCTTACGAAGACCAATCCTCTTATTTTTTTGAAAAATACTCCAAGGATCTTTTAGTTGAGGTAAAGGAGCATTTCTGAGAAGTCGACCGTGTTCAGAGCATTCCTGATCATGATTCTTCAGTGGATTTCTTTATGAGACTTCTTTGGTAGAATTGGGCATGTTCCTCAGGACATGGTTTGGAGAACCACAGTGTACTTATCCCATACTGGGTGGCTGGATTTCTCTCTATCCCAGAGTCTTTAACAAGAAGAACTGATGATGTCATACTTTACTATATACAATATCCTAATGTGTGGCTTTCTTTAAAAATAGGGCCTGGCTGCAATATTGCATCAGAAGTTCTCAGACGCCGATGTCGAGGAGCGCCATCACGCATACCTGAAGCCTTTTCGCATCCTTGTCAGTCTGCTTGACAAACCAGAGATAGGTACTGTTAGAAATGCTGCACTATCCTGTACCAAATATGGATGGCCTATTCTCAGGGAATTAAAACACGATAAGATACAATCAAAAGGTCAATTTGAACATAATTTAATCTTTGGAATCTACGAATCTTGAAGTTATATCATACGGTTCA